CTGTTTGACTAACAGTTTTGTCGCTTGGTCAGGCGGTAATGTGGGGGTATTCGTCTCCTGCGAGGATAAGGATGTTCCCCGCCGGTCCAGAGGGGAAGGGGGGCAGCAGGGCTGTAGTGGGCTCTCGCTTGTGAGCTCGTCCTGCGCCAGGAGATCGGCCCTCAGGCTTCGCTCTGGTTTAGGCCGCATGGGCGGTAGAGGTTTTTCCGCGGTGCACCGGTGCCGGACAAGTACCGTTTTGTTTGTCATGTTGCTCTGTGTCTGTTCCCGGTCATCTTATGCCTCTAACGTGATTATGTCACTCGGTTTCAGCTCACTTGTGCCAACTGTTGCAGGAGCTCTTAGCGTATGTGACCGGCCATCTTGGCTATCACACAAAATGTTAGTGTGTGCAAGAATGTGGATGTGTGTGTGTCTGTCAGAGAGTGAGTGTGTGTGTCTGTCAGTGTTGCGATGGCCGCGGCTGGACAATAGAGGACCTGGAGGTGCATGGAGGCACGCAACGCCATGTCACATTCCGACATGATATCAACATGCTCCACCTTCACAGGTTTTCACAGGATCCGCTTTGGCACAAGGTGCAGATGGCGCTATTGGGGGTATACCAAAGCTGGACTACATAGTCGCATACTGGCGGTGGCAATGTGAGTGGAGTCTGCTTGTTGGCTAATATTGTTTTTCTTTAAACAAGGGCTGGGGTTTAGTAGAGGTGGGGGACTGGGGTTTAGTAGAGAGGGATGCTTTTTTTTTTTTATACTGTACTTTTCAAAACAAACCTACGTTTCTATGAAAATGTATGTTTTTTTTTTTTTTTGCGGCCCTCATAAACTTAAACCTTGTTTATTTGGCCAGTGCTAGCCTTTCAGTTTGACATGCTTGATGTACACAGAGGCAGCTCCAGCATTGATTGAAATAGACAATCGCCTAATGTTTTGCTGTTGCTGGGGTTTCTCCCTGAAGTAAATATCGCTTTATTTAAAAAAAGTACAATAAAAATATTCGGCTTAGTTAATAGTGCTTCTTTTTATCGTGTTAACAACATAGGCAACATTTTAACCACACAAAAGGTTTATCAAGCCTCCTGCTAAAAAATGATTGCATAGTTGTATGCTTACTCCATGAGATATGAAGTTGCACAGTTAAAGTGGCAGATAAAGTGACAAGTGAAATATTTATACCATACACTACTATATGGCCAAAAGTATGTGGACACCCCAACTAATTACTGAGTTCAGGTGTTTCATCCTCACCCACTGCCAACAGGTGCATACAATCCAGCACATGGAAATCTCAAAGGACAAACAGTAGCAGTACAATGGGTCTTACTAAAGAGCTCAGTGACTTTAACCCCTTAAGGACTGGACTGTTTTTGCGATGTTGTACATTTGCGACCAGGCATATTTTTACACTTTTGTGGTGTTTGTGTTTGGCTGGAATTTTCCGCTCTCTCATTTACTGTTCCCATACAAATTATATATTGTTTTTTCAGGACAAAAGGGGCTTTCTTTACATACCATTATTTATATAATCTCATGTATTTTAATTTAAAAAAAATAAAAAAATATGATGAAAAATTGAAAAAAATACATGTTTTTTGACTTTTACTTGAAAAATCTTTTACTCATCTACAAAAGCGAATGAAAAAAACTGCTAAATAGATTCAAAATTTTGTCCTGAGTTTAAAAATACCCAGTGTTTACATGCTTTTTTGCTTTTTTTTTGCATGTTATAGGGCTATAGGTACAAGTAGAATATTGCGGTTTCAAAACATAAATTTTTTAAATTTATCAATAGTGACATTGTAACACTATTATCTGTCATAAATCTCTGAATAACACCCCACATGTACATATTTTTTTTAAAGTAGACAACCCAGGGTATTCAATATGGGGTATGTCCAGTCTTTTTTAGTAGCCACTTAGTCGAAAACACTGGCCAAAGTAAGCATTCATATTTGTTTGTGTGTGAAAAAAGTAAAAAAACTAAATTGAACGCTAATTTTGGCCAGTGTTTGTGACCAAGTGGTTACTAAAAAAGACTGGACATACCCCATTTGCAATACCTTGGGTTGTCTTCTTTTGCAAATGGTATGCCATCATGGGGTAATTCTCATTCCTGGGCTACCATACGCTCTCAAAGGCAACGTAACCAACCTGGCCATTTTCAATGTAAAATATTTGACCCATATATTTGACCTTGTAACTTTCAAAAATGCTATAAAACCTGTACATGGGGGGTACTGTTTTACTCGGGAGACATCGCTGAACACAAATATTAGTGTTTAAAAACTGGAAAACGTATCACAACAATTATATCTTCAGTAAAAGTGCTGTTTGTGTGTGAAAAATGCAAAAAAAGTCACTTTCACTGACAATATCATCGCTGTGATATGTTTTACTGTTTTGAATCACTAATATTTGTGTTCAGCGAAGTCTCCCGAGTAAAACAGTACCCCCCATGTACAGGTTTTAGGGTGTCGTAGAACGTTACAGGGTAAAATACAGTGCTAGCAAATTCAATTCTCTGGAATTTCGGCCTGGGTTGGCAGGCAGGTCCCTTAAATTGCAATCAATAAAATTACTGAATTATGTAAAACTATTACATAAATACGCACGTAGAATTTAAATATATATGCATATTTATATATTTGAAGTCTACGTGTATATTTATATAATTATTTATGTAATTTTGTATATGGACATATGTATATTTCTTATTTTTATTTATTTTTATATACATAGATATATATACAAATTCATTCTAAGTGTATTTTGATATAAATATATATATATTAATTTTAAAATACAGTTAGAATAAAATTTCATATAGATATAATTTTTTTTTAATTTTTTTATTATTATTTTAAAATTTTTTATTTAATTTAAATTACTTATTATTTATATTTTATAATATATATATATACATATATAGTTATTATATATATTATATATATACGTGTGTAATTTAATTATAAGTGTATTTTTATATTAATATAAGTACATATTAATATAAAAATACACTTAGTATGGCATTATATATATATGATATATAGACATATATTATATAGATATAATATATGTCTATATATCATATATACACATATATTATTATTATTATTTTTTTAATTAACATTAACTTTATTTTATTTTCTAATTTTACACTAGCAGGGAGACTGCCTGTCAGCACAGGCAGTCCCCCTGCAGGCAGACACATGGACACCTATTGTGACCATGTGATCGCTCTGTTGAGCAATCACATGGCCACAGGGGGTCCTAATTCAGTGTGGGGAGACTGTCTGGGCTGCAGGCAGTCTCCCCACAACCAGAGCCACGCTGATCGCCGCCGGGGGAACGACGGTGATCAGGTAAGTAACTAGGACCGTTAGGACGGTTCAGGACCGTCATCGGTCCTCAAAGCAAAAATGCCGATGACGGTCCTGAACCGTCCTCGGTCGCTATGGGGTTAAACAAGACACATTTTTGTATACTCACCATGCTCTCACAATAGATTCATTTTATACACTTTAGTTTTTTTTTAGCACTATTTATTTATCTCTCACCTTTGGATTTAGTGTAGGATATTGGGGTACTGTGAAGTAATGGTGGGCTTAACACAATATGGCCACATGGTGGAACTGAATCCCCATATTTTGTATAGGCAAATTAAGTATCCTTATAAGATTATTAGTGTATTTTATGTGTGTGCCGTAATTTAATTTGTATAATGTTTTAACAAGGCACTGTCATGGGAGGCCACCTTTGCTCCAAGTCAGTTTGTGACCATTTTAGATCTTTACCATGGTCAGCTATAAGACTACTAAAGTGAAGTGGAAGCATCTAGGAGCTCAGCCACAAAGTAGTATCTCATGTGTACACAGATTGGGAGCGCCAAGGGTGGAGTGTAAAAATTGCCTATCATCTGTTGCATCACTTACGACAGTTCCAAACTGCCTCCTGGAAGTTACCTCAGGAGAACACCATAACTGTATGCAAGGAGTTTTACGAAATGAGTTTCCATAGCCGGGCAACTGTACACAATCTTCACATTAATGCTGGAGTGGCGTAAAGCACACCACCACTGGACTCTAGAGCGATGGAAATGTACCTACTAGTGTTATCAGTCACGCTTCACTAACTGAAAGTCTGATGGAGTAATCTAGATGTGACAGATGCCAGGAGAATGCATCCAATGTAAATTAACAGTATAGTAACTTGTGCGAAGTTTGGTGGAGGAGGGATAATGGTCTGAGACTGTTTCTCTGGGTTTGGTCTAGGCCCCTTACTTCCAGTGAAGAATTATTTTAATGCTACAGGATACAAAGACATTGTAAACAATTTGGTACATCCAACTTTGTGGCTACCATTTGGGAACGGCCCATTCCTGTTCTAGCGTGCTGCTATGCCAAAAGAGAGATCTATGAAGACATGGTTTGACAGGATTACCATGAATAGTCACTGCCACAGTTGTGCTAGTTTTAAACCCCCTTTCCCCCCAAAAAAAACCCCAACAACATGGAGGATATTTGGGTGGAGAAAAGTTTAGTCATACTCTCTGGATTAACTTTACAAGGATGAATGCAGGACATACAACGTTACTGGTAAAAACTGAGGAAATCCGAAGTGTTAGAATCAGAGAATCTAGTTAAACAGTGCTTCATTCTATAATTTTATATCAATATATTCATTGATAGAACTCCAACTACTGTCAAGTCTGCCTAAAATGCTCACTTCTCACTAACGTTTGTGGAACATTAATTAAACATGGTTTTCATCTAAACTCTGGTATCAGTACTGACGAGAACCCCTTGGAGCAAGAACCATCTTAATGATATCAGTGATTTGAGGATGTTTTTGATTTCCGTATAATTCAACAAATTAAACAAAATTAATCACAACTGTCTCTATGATATCTTATTTGTATGTACCCCCAAAATCAGTGTGAATTTTAAATTATTAGCTCACTCAGTAACACCCTCCTACAGAGCAAGAGATGTCAGGGGGCTTCTTTTATGTTAGGATCCAGGTAACCAGACAAATGGTCTCCAGACTCTCAGGGTGTTCAAACCACAGCAAGATTTATTAGGCCAATAGAGTGACAGAGCAGCAACGTTTCGACCTGCTCCTAGGACTTTGTCAAGCTAACACCACATATCAAACTCCGTGTATATATATATCTATTGTGCAAATTGATAATTAACCAATAATACATTTACATATACTAATCATCTATAATATATTTACATCAGTGATATAACAAACCATGCAAACAAAACAGTAATATAAAATACAGTAAGAGCTCACCTCTGTGTGCCTATAGGAAGAAAGGCAAAAGGGGCAAAAGAAAGATTATGTAGAGATAAAAAAAAATAAACGCTACTAAGAGTCCTGTGGGTACACTTCCTGTCCGATGGAACGCAAAGCTGCGTTTAGGATCCAGGTAAGAGCGACTTTCCCCACTGGATAAAATGGCCATGCAGTTATGGATAAGTATACTATATTTAATATTTAATGTTCTTACCTTCTACATTTTGTATAGATTTTTTAAAATAAAAACCTACTTATTAGGATTCCAAATTTTCTACTATTTACCAATAGTTTAAAGGTTTTCTGAGTGCTGGCTGCCCATTATCAGATAGCCCTATATCTAGTTATACTCATAATCTCTAAATCAATGCAGTGTTAGAGACTTTAATCAATTATAATGTACAGAGAATCTTAGATGTAGACAGTGCTGTGTAACTGAAAATGCTTGCCCTATCAATCTGCTCCTAACATTTTAAGACAGGAAATCAGATAAAGCGAATTGCTAAATCATGAGTTTGCTAACTCAGCAACAGTTACAAAGCAAACAAAAAAATCCTTTGCTCTTATATCTATGTGTGAAATAAAAAATGAAGGGAGAAAACCCAGCTTGTATATCCTGTATAAGGGTAGTGCAATCTTAGGAACAAATGTGTAAAACATTACACAATACATTAACCCCTTAAGGACCAAGACTATTTTGTGATGCGTTTGTGACCCAGGCATTTTGGCACTTTTGTCATTAATTTATTCTGCCACAATATCCCCCTTTATGTTTAATTGCATATATATATATATATATATATATATATATATATAAAAAATATTTTGTTGTTGTTGCTGTGCACAAGATAACAAGCTAGCTTGCATGGCCACGACAGCAGGAGCAAGCACCATAAAATCAAACATACATAGACCGTGTCAAGGTATCAATGATAACTGCACATATTTTTAAGAAATACACAAATACAGGTTAGGTAAATATGTCTACACGCAGGCTGATAATGAGCCTTGTATCTGTCTAGACATGAAGGTTAGCAACAGGCTACTTGACAATTTAACAGGCTATAGAATGCTGAAAATTCCACTGGAGCTTGATATCACACTGCATTGCATATATCCCATACGCAAATGAAAAAATAAATAAAAATAAAAGAACAATAACTAGCATGAGTATTGGTTGCTTGATATGGTAACTATTGTATCTTAATATTAAAAAAAAGTGGGAACAATAGATTTTCTTAGCTGGGCCAGTCCTCATTTAGAAAATGCCCTGATTTGGAAAGTAAAAAAACGAATGAAGGATGTGTGATAGTCACCAGCAGTAGTGCAAGCAATACCTTGACTTTATTGACCAAAGCAGAAATTATGGAGGGATGACACAGGACATTAACTAAGTTTCCACATGGCCGTTTTGGCCTAGAACATGTACTTTTCCTGACAATTCTCTCCGGTTCCTAGTTTAGTAAGTACACTTTTCTCTATTTGAGTTTTAAAGTCTTACACCAAGAAGTACTTGAAAAAACTTCTAAGTCTTAAACTCTAACAGAGTGGAAATAATTTGTAGTAGAGTCCGCTATAGGTGCATCCATTTTTGGTGTATTGGTAACGTTCAAGACAGTTTGATACAAACTGCATTGGGATTGAGAGAAATGGTTGTATGACTGATTCACACAAAATGATATAAACCATAGCTCTGGTGGGAGTGCAACTAAAACAGTCTCTTTTAGTAACAAATAAAAAAAATCCTTTATAAAAAAGATATCTTAAGTGAAAATAAACAATAGCAACCAACAATATATTCTGAAAGAAATACATCTTATAGCAGATATATGCTTACAGGGGAACTAGGCCTAACTTGTGGTGCAATATATACTGCTTGTGGGTGTGATTTTTGTACTATATTACCCAATGTATTGTTTGTATGATTTTTCAGCTATCATATAAAATATACCTTGAATGATTTTTGCTGTTTATATAACTGTTTTTACTTTACCAACATACTACGTAAATGCTTCCCAACCTTCCTGACTTTGATCCCCCACCACCTCAAGTAATGGAAACAGTGATTTGTGAACTAGTATGTGGTGTGATTTTTCCTTATTATGGATGACGCCTTGAAAAATGTGGAAGGAAAGTCATGATTCATATCTACTGCTTAATCTAGATGTTATTGGCCGCAAAAAATGTTGCTTACGTGAAGCTCACTAAGCTTGATACTGGGAAATGCTGGGAATTGTTGAGAGGAGATTATTTTAAATGATCCTACTGTACTGTTTTGTTGCCTTTTGGATCAACAGCAAAAACAAATGTGAGAAAGGCTGATATTGATGGACGCAGGTCTTTTTCATATTTGTAACTGTGCTTTGGATCCTAACTTTTTTTTTTCTATTTTCTGCCAAATTTTTCAAATAGATCTTTTTTTTTTTTTTTTACCTTCTTTAATATTTTCAAGTCCTTGCTTTATTTTTTGAAATTATAGCCTGATGTAGTTAATGTATCTTTATTTTACAATATACTAACTTTAAATACGCTGTCAAAGTAACAAGAAAAAACAAACAAACCACAAAACACAACACCTTCTAACACAGTATATTTATAGCCAATAGCAACAAGATCAGGAAGGATTGTGCTTGTACGTCACCTGTGGTAACAGAATCCATCATCTATTGACCATTGTCTGCTGTATTATAAAAAGACTCCGTACTCAGTATTTCAATATTACCCAAATAGTGGAGTCTTCGAAAAGTTGTAGTTCTGCGATTTATGCAATCACTTAAGCAAGTATAATATAAGTAGAATACAAATTAAATGTGCTGGTGATTGAAAGATACAAATCAAGCATATTATAGGGGACATTACTACCACCATAAACGCAACAGCTTATTTTAGTGGTTATAATGCAATTAGTCATTGTTTGCCATTCCCTTTTTTCTTTCAAACAAAAACAGGGGCAACCCCTGGCAGGCCTCTCTGCACCTGCTTAGATAATGTCTCCAAAGTCACCCAATCTTGGGCAAAAATAAAACGCTGAGAAGCATTAGGCAGTTTTGCCCAGAGCTCTACTGGCCATCATTGAAACCTGGTTAAAAAAAAATATATCTACACATTTTGCTACTGGTGCATGACCTGACGTGTCATTGTGTTGCTTGCAAATTTTTGTTTTAAGAATTCCAGGTCTTGTCTTTTAAAATGCAATTCTTCTAAAAACTTGGAAATGAACTGTGTATATACGGAATTCTTCTGGCAATCCTTATGTTCAGCCATTGTGGGTAGCAATCTGTAAGAAATACAAGGTTCCATATTAAAGGTTATTTCAGAATAAGATACATGTACATTAGTACTAGGAATAATTATTTCAATCCTACAAAGCAAAAAAATTAAGAGGCCTATAATCCTATACTGTAGACGGTTACAAATATTAAAGGAACACAAACATGTATTCCTGACCCTATAGTATTAAATCCACCATCTAACCCCCTTGGGCTCCTAATGCCTCCATAAATATAGCAAAATCTTACTTGTATTCAAGCCTGAAGCTATAGCTTTGCAGGCTGTTTGCCTCAGAAAAACAAGCTGTCTTCTGACATCATCAATAGTGGTGGCCTGATTCAATCACACTGTGGATTGGCTGAGACTGACAAGGAGGCAGATCAGGGGCAGAGCCAGCACGATTCAAACACAGCTCTGGCCAATCAGCATCTCTATGAGGAAAGTTCAGTGTCTGCATGCAGAGGGAGGAGATACTGAATGTTTGGATGCATTTTAAGCAGCCATGACCCAGGAAGGCTCTCTAACCGCTATCTAAGGAGTGGCCAGTGAAGTTATCACTAGGCTGTAATGTAAACACTGCATTTTCTCTGAAAAGACCGACCGTGTTTACAGCAAAAAGCCTGAAGGTAATGATTTTAGTTACCAGAACAAATCCAATAAGCTGTAGTTGTTCTGGTGACTATATTGTCCCTTTAAATCCAAAATATTAGAGTAAAGCTTCACAAAGAAAAATATTTAAAAAAAATAAAAAAGGAAAAAAATAAAAGAAGAGGGACAATAACACTAAAAAAAATAAATCAGAGTAAATAAAAATCCAATAAGTGAATGGATAGGTCTACCTTCACTGGATATTTAAAATATATCCTCAAGAGTATCCGTAATAAAAGAAAAATATAAAAGGATAATAAAAAAGATATATAGTATTTACCAATATACAATTTATAAACAAATATTACTATAAAGCCAGGTTGAGTTCTTGGTCAATTTCAATTTTAGTAAAGCTTTAAAAATACTAGTTAGGCCATGGCAAACTCATCCACAGTGACATGAGGAATATGTAGATATAAACAGTTTATAAAATGATATAAATAATGCATTTGCAACAAATGAGATTTCCAACTGTTGGGTATATCAACAAAACATCACTAAGTACATTGGAAAGGTACTGTAATTTAAAATCTAATTTGTTTAAAATACAGTCTGGCCTCTAACTCTCTATGTAACCAACATTGCAGCTAACAAGAACAAGCCATTGAGATCTTTCAAATGATTATTTTATCAACTTCACCCGGTGCCGCTGGGCACATCAAATATGAATCAGGATAACTCTCCTAAGGAGTGGATCAATAACCACAGAGAAGGAATCAGAACAGTGCATTTTATCCCAGCCCAGAAAAGTACCTCTAAAACAGTCATGTCAGACACGGCTTTCATGATTTTAAAAGACAGGTTTAAATGGCAGTGCGCTCAGAATAGAATATGTTGTTGCTCTGCTTATTATATGATAAAGATTTTTGGGTTGGGATGGGTTCCCAAATTCTAAAATGTTCACATAACCTCGATTTATTCAAGGAAATATTAAAGCATGACAATAGCAGATCAAAAGGGGAAATAAACACAATTTGGGGATTTATACTTGGATATATAGTTTACTTTTCTTTAAGAGTCAATTACTAACCAGGTAACTTCTAAAATATTAATCCAACAGAGTCATATCTTATAAGAAAAGATTTGGGAATGGGGCCGAGACACGTATTCTGACTGCAGGAGTCAGACAGACATTTAAAAGAGAATATATTTTTTTCCTATAATGTTTGAGGTAGGGAAGACTGCCATCCCATATACTAAAAAAATAAATAAAAATACATCCAAGTTCCATATCTCCCTAGAATTTTCCAAGCCTTTCAGAGCGGTATTACATGAAAGGTTTCAAACCTTTACATATGTCACATCTGCTCTAACTTCTATAAAGACCAGAATATTAAAGGGATGGGGGACCACTCATAATGATGGCATGCCAGGAGATTTCAAATGTTAAATAACTTGCATAAAGTATTTTCAAAACATTTAAATTCACATTTGGTCACATCATTGATCGTACCGTAGAATTAGTAAGAGCAACCTAGGCACAATTACAGTTCTTTGGGTGAAGCACATAAATGGAAAACTGGAATTAGAACTATCTTTGGAGGGGGCGTGACCTGACAGAGGAGTGAGCTGGACGCCTCTGTGTAGAGCTCCGCTCCAAACATGCTGCATATAGCATACAAAAGCCTAAAACCAGAGCTGTGTAAAGCAAAAATGGAGAAAAGGAATTTGAAAAAGACACCCTAAAAGATGCCCGGAACCGGGAGCCACGGTAAGGGACCTCTTTGCGGGTCAAAAGGGCGCCGGGGTAGGCCCCACTTCTCCACCAGCCTCTCCGCGAGCTAATAAC